TTACAGCAGACAAACATTTAGAGCAATTCCTAAATGTAGGATTTTAGAATAAACTGCACTATAACACCACTCCTACCTATAGCCCCCTACTACGTTAGTTTAAACGTGTGCTTCACTTATGTATTGCATGCAGTGTCATTAAGTGTGCTGCTAAAAACAGGATCACAGAGTGATCCTAAGTGCTGCACAGAGCCAGCCAGGCCTAGCTTGATAGGGAGCATGGATGCGCCATCAGCTGTCCTGCACCAGCCACCTCATCTGTGATAGCGGAATAGACTTCACAACTTCGTTAAAGTTGTAAAGTAGGTATGCTTTATTCAGCTGAAGACGTACGGGGGATTGGTCCTCCAAAAGGCATGCGTGCCTCAGTGCCGTTTTCCTTTTACATTTATCCTGTAAAGTCATACATAGGTATTAGGTCGCACAATACGCCTATACATATTCATATTCTATCCCCGCTTCGTATTATAATGAGCTAAAAGGCGCTCCACGCATGCGCAGTGCCTCCTGCTGGTCTTGGGCAGGGGTCTTCAGATGAAGTAAGTAGTCTTCCTCTTGTGGGTAGGGGTCTTCAAGATGAAGTAAACGAGTCTTCCTCAGGCTTGAACTTTTTACCTCTGGTCCTCAGGCATGCTCTTTAGGAGCTGGATGGGTCTGGTCCATGTCTAGCTGGTTTAATGGGCTATTCCCTTCGCTAGGAAGCCTTATCTTAGTACTGTCTGATAAGGCAACTGCTGGGCTTGTCAAGCCAGCCATGATTTAAGCAGTAGTCCTTGTACAACCCCCCATTCTCCTCACTAGGAGGTTTTGTTCTGGTATTTGTCTGATAAGATATCTGCTGAGCTCGTTAAACCAGCTATGACTTAAGCAGTACCCCCCTGTACATTTTGACAACCCCCCTGTACATTTTGACAACCCCCCTGTACATTTTGTCTAACCCCCTTGTACACAATAGGCCACATCAGTTTCAATTTGTAAAACAGAAGCATGAACCTTTCTCTAGTAACCCTCAGCTGATAACAAATGAAGAACAGTTTCTTGTGCCAACTCATTTCTGAACTAATGCCACTGGTTAGTTCAGCTTTCAATACCCCTCAACAGTGTTGTTTTTCATTGTTATTATGTATCTAGCAGGTTTGAAAAGTAGGTTGAGTGCACTTCAATACCACCTTTTCTATATTTTTAAGATTCTAAAACTTACAAAAAAAAAAAAGAAAAAAGATGTTGATCTGATGGAAGAGTAGTTAATTCAGTCCCACAGATTTTGGAGCCATCATGGGGGAGGTGATCTTAAAAACGTATTAACTCACAGTTAATAGTCATGTGCTTGGGTTTTTTTCAGACTCCAGCAAGCCCTGCAGAAATGAGAGAATAAAAATCCCTTTTCCAGTTCCCTGCATTCCTCATCAATCACTGTGTAATTACAAGAACACTAAGAATTTACAAAATTATTCTAAAAAAAGAGAATTAGGTTTGAATTTGATGAATCGTGAACTGAACTGAGGTGCTGTCTTGTTTCTGTTTAATGTTTTGACAATAGGGTTTGACGTCACTTCAGTTAAGGTGCTGTAGTTTTATACAGACATCTATTTACATAAGTGAATCAGGATGCAGAAGAGGAATCTGTATTCCACCATTTAGCTATGGCTTTTTTTTCTGCAGTGTTGCTATGAAGAAGCATATAAATATTTGTATCACAAATTAATTCTACTTCCCTTATAGATGGCATGGAAATACAGATAAAAATGGTAAAGAAGAGTTATTGTAGGTGGGTTTTATCATGCAAAGTAATGTTCTGAAATGGGTTCAAGCACAGACTAGCAGCCCAGGAAAGATAGTGTTATGTTAAAGAAATCTGGTATCTTTGTTATGGGATAGAAATGGAATTAATGTGTCCACTGTATTTGCAATTTCTTTTTTTCCATTTTTTTAATAGCATTACTAGGTATTTATCTTTCTAATAGCTCATATGTACTGGGACATTTGTATAAAATCAAGTACAAGCATCCAGTGAAGAAGTTTAACTCAGAAGCAGGTGACTGTCCACCACTGGGTGGATGGTGTGGAAATTACACAGGAGTTCGAAGCTGCATAAGTTATTTCTTCATATGATCACCCACATTTTTTCATGTCCAGTCTGTTTCTCTCCACATCTGCCAAAATTGCCTCGAAGAAGGTGGTTGTGCCAGACACCAGCACATGGCCTCCTGAACTGCAGCATCATCTCCTTGCCTTTGCTCCTCATCCTGTCCTTTGGGCTGGTCTCCATGAAGTCTCCTTCCTATGACTGTTGTCTATCTTTTTCTCTGTGGACTGAAGTCACTGTAATTACTCTTTGCATATCAGGGTGCTTTCCAGGCTTCCAGATGTTGCAAGACCCTTAGGTGATAGCCCCAGGTGGTGTGTGAGAAATGCCTTTGGCACAGTTTAAACTCTGCTTTTATTGCCTCTAAATTCTGTGTTATGAAACATCCTCTTCAACAAGAAGCTTCAAAGAGTGGCTCTGGTTTCTCTTACTCAGCAAGTATTTTCAACACCTGGAATTGTTATTCTGATTTCACATTGAGATCTCTCTAGTGATGTCCTAAGGTGATGAAAACAATAATGGTTAACAACAGGATTGTAAATAACACGTATCACCATAGCAGTCTGCTTCCTCTCATATCACAGGATGGTTTTGTTCAATTCAACAGCAAAAGAAGAAAAAATGAGGGCAATACAGAAATACTGAATAAGAGTTACAGCTTAACAGTTGGGGCAGTGTTATGTCAGTAGTTCACTGACCTTTTAAGGTCCTTCAAAAACTTAAATATATAAGTCTGCCTTAAATCAAAACCCCTCCGCAGCATTGGAAACTTGACGGTGAGCTTAAATTTTACATCTCTAAGCATCATCATCATCATCATCATGGCTTGACTTCGCGAACGAAGATTTGGGAAGGGCATTTACCCACGCTTACTACAAGCGCGCTGATGACTAAGAAGGCCAATGTGGGATAGGCAAGTCCGGCTACAAAAAGCACAGCAGAAGGTCTCCTTGGGTGAAACAGGTGGGGCGCGATTCTTCCTGTGTTGTCTTTTCTCCTTGAGACTAGTTCTTCGTGAACTCTCAAAGGAGTCAGCGGCATTATGTATGGTGTGCCTCCAAGTCTCCTGATTGGAGGCCAAGGTGGACCACTGATGGTAGTCAGTATGGCCAAGGCTAAGGTATTGTTTCAGGGAGTCCTTATATCTCTTCTTTGGGGCACCTCTCTTGTGGCTACCGGTGGCAAGTTCACCGTAAAACACAATCTTGGGGAGGCGGTGATCCTTCGTTCTAGAGACGTGCCGTGCCCAGTGCAGCTGCAATTTCAGCAATATGGCCTCGATGCTGGTGACCCCTGCCTGTTCGAGGACAGTGACATTAGACACATAGTTAGTCCAATGGATGTTTAGAATTGTACAGAGGCAGCGCTGATGAAAGCATTCCAGGAGTCGCAGGTGATGACGGTAGATGACCCATGATTCAGACCCATATAAAAGAGTAGACAATACAATGGCTCTGTAGACACTGACCTTTGTACTTTTCTTCAGGTGTTTATTACACCAGACTCTTTTATGGAGTTTTCTGAAGGCTCTGTATGCCTTTGCTATTCTGTTGTCTATCTCTTTGTCGATCGTGGCATCCGAGGAAATGATGCTTCCCAGATAGCTGAACTGCTGAACTGTCTTAAGCTCTGACTCGCTGATGGTAATATGGGGATGGCGATAATCTTCTTGTGGTGCAGGTTGGTAGAGGACTACTTTCTTATTCAAGCTGACTGCCAGCCCAAAAACCTCAGCCACCTCCGCAAAGCAAGATGTTAAACGCTGCAGAGCTGCTTCTGTGTGGGCAACAAGGGCGGCATCATAAGCAAAGAGCAGTTCACGGACAAGATGGTTTAGGGTCTTAGTGTGGGCCTTCAGTCGCCTTAGATTGAATAGGCTACCATCGGTACGGTATCGAATATAAATGCTGTCTTGTTCGTCGAGGTCTGCTGTAGCCCTTTGGAGCATCATGCTGAAAAAGATTGTGAATAAGGTCGGTGCGAGAACGCAACCTTGTTTCACACCATTGGAATGTGCCTTAAAAGTGTGCATACCACTTGCCCAGTAGGTAGATTCTCCTGCTGACTAAGCAAATTGTATTCATGTCTTCATAATGAACGTTTGCTATAAGAAGTAATGATCAGCAATTTAATTTTTAATTCCATTTGTGTCTGAGAGTCTGGTATCACAGTCCTTCATTGTGCTGAGCATTTTGCTTATCTGAATTTGTCTCAAAGGAGTATCCTGTATTTTAATAAAACTGTGATTCAGAGAAAAGCGTTCTTAATTCCAACCTGGTATAGATGTCTTCCTAAATGTAAGGGTGGATTTCCAGTGAAGCCCATCAGCTCTACCTGTCTGTGCTTATTGCTGCTGTTTAGGGAACAGCCAGCGCTGCCTAAGGAGAGATAAAGTGGCTGCCAGTTCCCCTGAGCACAAGCAGGCTTGACCAGAGATAGAGGCTGGGAGTCCTAGGAGCAGCAGTGGCGATGCCAGTCTGCACAGTGCACTGTCCTGAGCACAGGTACTACCTAGAGGGGCAGAAGACAGTTCCCACACAGCAGTGATTTCCTCCAGCTTTTCATTTTGCCATTCTTGCAGCAGCTCCCCCCATCAGAAGCCTGAGGGAGAGGGAGCAATTTCAGCGTGAGGCATTATTCATCAGAAAAAGAGTGGATTCATTAACATAAAAATTGCATCAACATTTGCTGAGTCTTTTGGTGGAAAAAGCAATACCTCTGTTAAAAGTGTGTTTTTTGTAAAAGTCAGGCACAAGACTGGCAGGCTTAGTTTCAATCTGGAGTTCATGTTTTTGTGTGGTTTTATTGTTCAGCTGGTTCAGAAGCGTGCTGCTTTCTGATTCTACTGGTCTGTGCAACTTGTCACACTGCCCCTGCACTCAGTTTACCTTTTCTTTCTCCCCTTCTCTCACAGCAAATGAAGCTTGTGGCTGAGTCACTGAAGGAGTAAACATGAAGGAATGAGGATGACTAAAGCAGTCACATGTGGATGCCAGCACCACTTCGGCGTTTGTTTATGAGGATGTGTCGCTCTCAGAGCATGCACTCACCATCTAATGAGTAGGTGGCACCTGCCTATGGGACAGTTTGTAAATATTCTTTGCCTGACACTGTGAAAAAAAAGGTATTTTCTCCTGCTCCCTTTCTTATATGCAACCATTAGTGAAATTAACACCAAATAAAGGACTCCAGCTTACACTGCATCTGGTTGAGATCTGCCAGGCTCACTGTGCTTCAAGTGATTGAAACCAGATCCTGTGAGTAATCATCCAGAAGCTCTCTAGAGTTTTCAACTGCAACTTTGTAAAAAGAAAAAAATCCAAGAAGGTTGACTAGTATTTAATTCAGTGTATTGTCCTTTTGGGTTTACTGCCCCTTTTGTTCATTTATTACAATAGCTTATCAGTCCTGTATTATTTCAGACTTATTAGCTGCTGTTTGCACTTGCAAATTAATTTAAATATTTTTTACATCACATAATGAAATACATGTTGGTTCCTTGTATGATATAAGAAGTAGTGGAACATAACTATTATAAAGTATGCATTATACACCCCTGTGTGTTAGCTATCTAAATAAAGCTCAGCAAAAACCTTTTCAGAAGCTGGGTAGAACATATTCAGTGGGAAGCAGATTGCTGTTCAGTAATTTATGAATTGTATTTATTTTTTAATTTACACTAGGTTTTGGTATCATTTCCCTGAATTTTGAACTGCAGTATTGTATGAATGCATCTGCTGGTTAAATGAACTTATAGTAACAGACCAGTTAAACTTGGCCCTTGATATACCAGTACTTGTGTATGTAGTGCATATCTGACTTTGTTCCTTGGTTTTCACAAAGTAGTTTTCCTAATGTTTCATAGTTTTCTGACAGCAGCAGGACCAAAATCTACAGTGTTTGCTCCTGTGACCTTGAGACAGTTTATTTTCCCATGCTGTGACCTTCATCTTTGGTAGATGTGGCTTACTTCTGTGCAATAGTAGAGTTCTGTTTGGAAAAATCTGCTGTTACAATAATAAAGATATTTGCCAACTTTGTACATTTCAGATTCCTGCCACGGCAGTGATCTAACTAAGCCAGAATAATGTATTCTGGCTGGTGTTTAAAATTAGTGTTTCTCAGACTCTTCAAGCATGACCCAGTAAGGAATGACTCCATTCCTTTGGGAAGAGGAGTAAATCCATGCCACAGCTCTGTTCTTGCCCCACACTGTGCGTCCCCACACTGCTGCTATTTCAAGGGGTACCTCAGGACTGCTGCTCTTTCACAGCCTGTTCCTCGAGCCATGGCAGGGATCTCTAGGAGAGCACATCTCCCTTCCTGCAGCACTGTAGAGATCCCAGACCTGAAGCTGTTCTGAGGAGAGGAGCAGCATGTTCTCCATGAAAGCTCCTCAGCGTTGCAGTTTCTTGCCCACTTCATCTGAAGTAGCTTCACATTTGCTCAAGTTTTGTTCGTGCTGCTTAGTCTGTGTTTGAGTGAACACTTCAGGAGAGGAGAAATCTGTGGGAAGGGTTCCTGGTGGAATATGTTCTTGTGAGCTTGTTAGAGCCATTCTGAAGGGATTCTGCTGGTCTGCTAATTTGTGCTGGTTTGTGAGTGTAAAGCTGGTGTGCTTTGCTGATGGCAGCTGTACCTGAAATGATTTTCTGAGATGGGTTAGAAAAGGAAAAAGGGTAGATATTTGCAAATTGACTTTGTGGTTGTCCTTGAGGTCCTTCCATTCTCCTATTTTCTGTAGACTAACAGGAAAATCTATAGTAAGGTTTAAGTACCTGGTGACATAATGAACCTTAGCTGTTGCCCTTGCCTGGGGCAAATCCCTTCACTTCCATTTGGTTTCCTTGTCTATGAATGGGGATAATACTGTTGTTTATGTGGATTCTCCTCCTAAATCTAGTGGGTATGGAGGAATATGTCCTTCCACAGCTTGAGTCAGCAATATGGGAATTCTTTGTTTTATTGTTAGTTTGCACTGGATACGGGGAGAATTCTTGGTTTAGAGCAAAAACAGATGCTACTGTCAGAGGGGTGTTTCTGTCCTGGAGAGTGTACACTTTTGAGCTTGCTGAGGAATATTACTTGTATATTGCTGTATAACATTTTGTCACTGAACTGAAATTTATCTTCCTCTGTACACTACTCTGTCCTTTCACTGGGCTGCGTGTATGTGTTTCTGTGTTTTATACTTTTTAGTATTGGTTTGATCCTGGCTTTTGGTTTTTACATTCATGGTATCATCTATTTTCATTTCTCATTTGAGAGAAAAATTGTTTCTGGCTGTGCTTCTGTCTCTACATGTTTTTCTTTCTGCTGCTTTCTTTCACTCTGTAAAAACTGTGGGATTCCAGGGATGAAACTTCCAGACAAAAATCTGTTTTCAGATGAAAATATTAGGAAGAATAAATAAGAGATTTACCATAACTGCCATTCACAAGCTGTGTCATCTGAATGTGTCCTCTTAGTCTGGGTAGCTGTGTCCCATGCTCAGGTCCCGCGAGCACAGAACTAATAGAAGGCCATTGAGTTGGTTTTCTCAAGGTGCAACAGCAAAGGGCACGGTGGCTACAGAGGGAAGGCACTGGAATGAAAGGAAACAAATCCAACCAAGTCAGAGGTGTCTTGTTCCTGGTAAGTGTCTTCTGTCTTCCTCCCTAGGGGTACCAAGCAGTTGGTGTGCAATAGCTGAAGCTGCAGCGCCCTTCAGGTAGACAGTGGTGAGTTCCCACATGTAGCTTGTGAGCCACAGGTCTGACTAACTGCCCTGTGCCCCAGAGGTATCTGCTGACTCAAGATCTCTGCTGTAGTTTCTAGCCTGTAGAACCTCCTGTGCACTTGAGGACAGTAGAAGAGGAAAACACTGGGAACATTCCAACACTGGGAACATTGCATGCGGAAAGTTTCCTCTGTAGGCAGGAAAGCAATTCTGAGTACTTTAACTTACCTAGGCCTGAGAGATTTGATCTCAACTCTCATTGGGAGCCTTGCACTGATTGTTTACTTCCTTATGCCAATAAGCAAAGCCAGTGGGAGCCATGGCTAATGTCACCATGTGCCTTCACCAGGATCTATGTCCCCTGCCTCAGCCAGGAGGCTGACAGCAGAGCCCAGCAGCTTGCCTGTCAGCCGTGCACCTGCTGCTCCATATTAAACACAGCAGTGATGGCTTCTGTCATCGTGGTGTGATGAGGGTGATCCTGGCATGCCCTGAGAGCTCATCAGCCCTTCCTCCTGGCTCCCAGGTCTGCAGTGCTGAGCTGAATCTCTCCCAGGCCTGTGGCACACAAGAGCCCAGTGGGGAAAACAGATCCTTTCCCTCTGCCTCCCTCAGCCTGGCATTTCTCAAGGGTAGCAAGAGGGAGGGAATAGGAAGAGGTTACACAACGGCTTGCTGAAATCAATTGCTAAGATCTGACATGACACATCTGAGAGCCTTGTCGTTACAAAAACCCCAAGCTTTACAGGTCCTCTAAAGCATCAAATTTTTCGTGTGGTGTAATTCTTCTCCTATCTGGGAAAGTAAACAGACATCGTCTGGATTTTTTTTTTTCCTGAGTATAATAGACTGTTTTGTCACCACATCAGGATTCTTGACTTACTTACAGAAATCGATGCCAGTTGTAATGCGCACAGATAGGCTCAACTGAGTTACCTTGTTACAAGTAATTACAGTTTTAAGCTCAGAAACAAAGTAGCCACAGGCTGTGCTTCAGGGAGGGAACAGCCATGGCTCCGGAGAAGGGCAGCGCAGCCCACACTGTCCTGCATGAGGGAGATGGGCTGGCTTCAGCCAGGGCCCACTTGACAAGTGAGTCACTATTACACTTTCCCCAGGTACAGTCACATCAAAGTGTTATTACTCAAACACCTTTTATTGACAGCAAGTTGTAATTGGGAATTAGTGGCAGGCAGATCTGATTCATCCACATAAACCAAACATGGGAAGGGCTGTCAGGGTGCCTTGGCTGTTGCTAATGTTTAGGACATCCTGGTTTGCCCCTGGTCTCTGTTTATTGTTGGCCATGTACCCTGGGATTGCTGTATAACCAGCTGGCTAATGAGAGATTACTGCATGTACCAGCTGTTGAGATGCTGCTGCTTGGCCTTGGTGTCATGAAAAGGCAGGTGGTACAAGATTTGTCACCCATTTTATTGCTCAGGCACAGTCCTGGCCCTGTGAGGTCCTTGGTGGCTCCATGCCCACTCCCACCCCTGCCCCGTTTACATTGGCCAGAGTTGGGAATCTCGATCACCAGCAGTGGCCAAGGTCCCAGCTGCAAGAGCCTGTGGGTACAGCCTCACACAACCAGCCCATCATAAAGCAATCACGCGTTAATTGTAATTACCTAATCTGCTGACTGTCATTAATCCCAGTGAGCATGCCAAGCACCTGGTGTCTGTGCCATCCCTGGCTGGTTACAGCTCTTGTTTCCTGAGCAGTCATATCCCTGTGGAAGAACTGGTGGTGCTAAGGGGTCCTAGTTGGATCTCACCAGAGATGCCTCCATGGGGCACTAGAGATGGTCCCAGAACCCTCCAGCCCAGCCCAGCACTCCACACGCCAGCATCTGTCCTCTCCTCACAGGGCCCTGGAAGAAACAGGAATGAGCAGCACATTAAGGCATGGCAGGGTGCAAGTGAGGAGAGCGAGAGCACACTCCTGGACGTGAGCTTCGGCATTGCAGTTGTTTATTGTGGTTGTCTATTATTCTGACTCCACTTGAGATTGAAGGCTCAGGAGCAGAGGTTTTCCAGCACCTGGAGCCCAAGTATTGCAGCACAGGGCACTGTGGTAAGAGGTACCCTGTGAAGCAGTTGCTGTAATGAGGTGGAATTAACTGCAGGGATGGTGTTAACCTGTTGCAGGAGCAGAGCAACAGGCAGAGCTGCCTCTTATGCTGCAGTGCTGGATCTTGGGTGCAGCCTTAGCGCTTTGCACGGCCCCAGTTCTACATCTGGGTTTTTACCATTACCCATTTTACATGGCGAACAAGAATAATAGGTTTGGTTTGGTTTAAAAACAATCTATATTGCTGGAACTTCAACTTGCATCTTCACACTAAATAAATCAGTACTAGATGTCAGAAGCACCTCTGCAGATCAGGAAAGAGGTGTACAACCTCACCCTGCGTCTGACAAGGGAACCACCCTGAGGCAGGTGAAGCACACTGCTTTTTCCCAGGAGCTGCAGCAGTGGGGGTAGGCCCTCCCCCTCTCCCATGAATGTGACAGGCACATGGGGCTGGGACAGGACTGAGAAACTTGCAGGCACACACAGAGCAACTGCTGTATCCAAGCTGTTGAAACCTGCTGTGTGCTGCACTGCTGAGCTGCCCAAGCAGCACGAGGTTTGCCCACAGGGCAGCTGCACAGGTGCAGCAGCGTTCTTCAGCAGGACAGCAACTTGTGGAGCTCACTAAAGCTCTTAAACCCTCCTGAGGTTCTGCTGAAGCAGCAGCAGCCACCTCAGCCTTTGAACTTTGAAGAGCTGCTTGAGCAGATGCCAGCCGTGACAGCATTTAAACCCAAATGAACATGTTTTATCTGTGCAAGAGAACAACTCGGAGTTTGCAAACCTACATGCATCCCCACACAACCTCCAAGGGGAGACTGGATGGGGCCTTGAGCAACCTGGCCTAATGGAAAGTCTCCCTGCCCATGGCAGGGGTTGGAACTGGATGAGCTTACGGTCACTTCTAACCCAAACCATGCTGTGGTTCTATTATTTTTCAAAGCAGCTGAACTTACATATCTACTGCTTTCTGCTCAAATTTATCACCCTCTATGAACCTGGCCAGCACTGATCACATGATGCCTGTGCCACCCCTGCACCCTGAGCCCCAGCAGAAACAGGGACATGCAAACCACAGCTTAAGCATCAATCAAGATACAGCTTTTATTAACCAGATTTTCCACCTCTGTCAAACACTGTGTTTATACAATGACAAAGCTAAACACTGCTGGAAGCAATCAGATCAGGTGATACTTCTGTATCCTCTTAACACACAGATTCTTTCTTGGTGAGGATTTTTTTCTATTTCTGTTCATTGAGTCTCCTTATTTAGACTGATAAATTCTTAAAATTCTGTGTCAAGATTGTCATGTCTTAAATACAGATTAAGTTGCTAGAGGTACATTATTTTATATATATATATTTATATACACACATACAGAAAAATACAAGACTGTTTTTCCACAATATTTAATTTATACACTACTGTAACTATATGCAACTTTTAAAGACACGTTAAGGGGTACAAGAAACTGTTTACTTGCTCTAAATAGTTTGGTCCAATATTATCTTTACTGTAGTGCTTATTCTTGCCCTTCCTTTTACATGACAACACAACATACATCACATGCACAATCATTCACCTGTCAACAAATGGGTAAAAGACATCACTCAGACTAACATTTGTACACCCAAAGGTTCAACCAACCACACACAACTCTAAGGCTATGTATGATACAACTATGCAGCATAAATGGTCAACACGGCTGTTCTAAAATGAGCACCATATATACAGTTGTATACAAAAACATTGGAAACAAAATACACCTGGGGTTAGTTAACAGGTGCCATTCCAAGGCTGTACATAGTATCAGGAAAGTATATTTACAATACTTGGAAAAAAGCTGCAACAAATAAGTTTATTGCCAATGCCCTTTATAAACTTGTCTCCTACTCGGATGTCATGCTCACTGTCTGTGAACCACACATCACATTTCTGGCCCTTGGTAAGATCCCTGCTCAAAAATGTCAAGCAAATGTGTTCTATGGCTTCACCCACACATCTGTCCTTGTAGCTTTTAATTTCTAACAAGTGTCATGCTGACTAAACTGCAACTGCAGTTCAAAACAGAAAGGAGTAAAACACTTGTCCTTGCCTTGCTTAGGAAGCAGAACATAAAATCCCCAGTGAGGGTCAGAGTATTCCACACTGTTCATGCTCCCTCAGTAAAGTCTCTTACTGATCAACAAGAGCTGTCGAGCCTATGACCAGGTGTGAGGCTGCTCTCTAGTGCTCCACTCGCTCTGTAATGGATGTGAAATGACTCATATCCGACCACTCTGCAAGCATTAGGGGATGCTTAGCAGCATCAGCTCCTCCGACACCCAGCATCTACCCAGGGCACTGCTACGTAACTACCACTAGTCTCATCAGCATTTCTTAGAAGACCTAGTGCACAGCGTGAAAAAAATAAAACATTCCTGCCCTTCCCAAAACTAGGAAACTGCAGTATATTTTATTCTGAATAATAAAATTCCACAAAGTCAGTTCATCTGGTCAAGTCTCCTTTTGTGCAGAAATACTCTAAATCAAGACCATGGCGTGGCAATGGGAAACGGGACAGAAAGGTTAATTGCTGCAAAATAAAGACTTTCCTATATGCTCTTTTAAACTGACTGTATGAAAAAGCAT